CTGAGTCTACCAATCTCGCGCTTCTTCGCAGAGGGTTCGCCCCCACGTTTGCCGGTGTTTACCCAAGTGTTTTTACGTGGGCCACCTTTGACAAACTGGGAGAGTTCCCCCTGGCGAATAAGACGCTCGATGGCCTTCTTTAATGTGATGCAATCGTCGGTGTTGTGCGACGAGTTCTTGTGGAACCGGCAATACGTGCCGCCCTGTTGGATGGCCAGGACCTCCTCGGCCGGCCGAGGAGCCTGCTCGATGAGGCCGTGCTTTTCGGCATAATCAAGGATGGTGCCGACCGGGTGGGTGAGGGCTACCCCCGGCCGTTCCATCCTCGGCCGCCAGTGGCGGTCTTTCTTACTTTGTCCACCAGAGCCGTGGCGGCCCTGGGCACCCTGGCCGGCGGGGGACGGGCCCGAGGTCGGCGAAGGATTTGTCTTCTTGGGGGGATGGCCCCCCTCTCTCTTGTGATTGTGGAGCTCGTCGGCGTCGGCATACAAGCCTCCGCGTTGGAGCGCCTTGGCGTACGACCTCGGGGGGTCAGTGATGAGGCTCCTGGCGTACGGGGAGCTGCGGAGGGCTCCCTGGTACAAGGCGAGGAGGGTGCACTCATCGGCCCCCTCGACCTCCTCGGTCTCCCTCGTCCACCGGTCGATGAATGACCGGAGGGACTCCTCGTGCTGCTGTTTGACGGAGAGGAGGTGGGTGAAATACTTCTTGGCGCGCTTCCTTCCGGCAAAGTGAGTGAGGAAGCGCTGGGCGAGATCTTGCCATGAGTCAATGCTTCCCTCTGGCAGCCCGTTGAACCACTCGTACGCTGGCCCCTCGAGAGTAGAGAGGAACCAACGGCAGAGGTATTCGTCGGACGCGTTCACCATCAGCATGTTGTTTTGATAACGGCTGAAGTGCTCCTGGGGGTCTGATCGGCCATCGTAGGACTTGATGGCATTTCCCCTGTACTTCTCAGGGATGGGGGCCGAGAGGACCCTGTTGGTGAAAGGGGTCCTAGTCCTGACCTGGATGATGGGGTCACCCCGACCTTCGGCCAGCTCCCTCTCCAGGGCGCTGACTTTGTTCATGAGCGCGTTGAGGCCGGGGTCGTTGGAGGCGCCGGCCGTAGGGACGTTGGCCGACTGCTTGGCCTCCATCTGAGCCAACCTCCTTTCCAGCTGGGCGATGACCTCGTCCCGGGGGTCCCCGTCGGCCGCGACGACACCCGGCTGGTTCCTCCGGCGCTCGTTGTGAGCCGCGTTGATCTGGTGACGCACGTCATCCTCGTGCAACTTCCCCTTGCCCTTGTCCGGGCGGGGCTGGTCCGCTGTCCGGGACACAGACCCCAAACTCTCCCTTGGCGAGCCAGGACGAGGATCACCAATCCGTCCCGCCATCCTCTCCGAAACCGGACGACGGCGCGTGTCACCTAGCCTATCGAAGGCAGAGTCTTTTCCACGCGCTGGGGTCTGCCCGGGCCGAAAAGGGGAAGCAGGGTGGGAGTGGGACGACGCCGTGTCTTGGGCCACAACCCCCTCATTGTTGCCTATCTGGTCGGCCAGGGGTTGGGGATGAGGAGGTGGAGTGACGTTTCCCCCGGTCCTTGGCAAGAGTGCGCTGAGGACGGTGGGATTCTGAGCCAAGCTGGCGATGATAGCCGATAGTGCGGCCTGGACCTGAGGATCTACGGACGGAGAGGCCGCGGCCATAGGCTGGGCCGGGGCGTGGTCCGCTTTCTCAGCTCGTTTCTTTTCCAGGCCGAGGCGGGCGTCGGGGACTCCGCCGTTGAGTTGGTTGCGGAGGTCCGTCGTGAGGTTGAAGGCTTCCTGGAATAGGTCCCCTCCGCCGACCTGGTCGGCCGTGGCGTCCTCATCGTGCTCCCTGGGCTCTTGGTCCTCAGGGATGGCTTTGCTGACGAGGTTGCGGTTTGACTTAGTTCTCCCCATGATCAGTGGTTAGATGTGCTTGGTAGCGACGAAGGGTGCTAACTTGATTGTTCTAGCTCTCAACGAGAGCACCAAATGATAGAGTATATCTAGAGAGAAGTGAGAGCTAGAGAGAGAAGTGCAATAATATGCTTCAATAGAATGATTTCGTAACCCCTATAACTACTCCCAAGGGGAGTATTTATAGAGAAAATTAGGGTTGGGCTCCCAAGCCTTGGGCTTGGGAGGCCCATTTACAACTGGACCACTACTGGGCCGAATACAAAGCCACTAATGGGCTGTACAAGTGAGTAAGTGTAGGATCCGATTCTGGGAGGTCCTCGTGGCCGACGAGGTCGTGGCCGACGAGGGCACAGCTGACGAGGGCACGGCCGACGGGGGGCACCCGGGTTCCTTGGACTCGGGATCATAATCCGGGTTGGCTTCCTCTCGGCCGACGAGGGCGTTTGGCCGACGAGGGCGCCACTCTGTCTTGTGCTCTGTTCTTCCGAGTATGTGGGTCCTGGGGCTCAGACCCATATACTCCATCAGACACATCCGTGACTAAGTCCGTGACTACAAATTTTATATATGCAGCCTCCGCTTCATTCAACAAAATCACACCATCTACTCCAGATAGAATTCCAGATAGAATTGAAGGATGTAATCTACCCATCTCATATCATTTTTCCTGTTTATGCAGATAAGGTATGTAATTTGAATTACGTATTTTTTGTAAATTAGTTAAATTTGTAAATTTGTTAATAAATACACATGTAAGTATATTATATATTAAATATAATATTGGCAATACATATGTTATTAATTTTAAAATATAGGGTTAAAATTACGTAAATTAGTTAAATACGTATGTAAGTATATATGATTAAATATAATTTAAATGCATATTATTAATATTAGTTACATGTAAGTGTTATTTAATTCAAATGACTTTATATATATATGATTAAATATAAGTATATGATTTCTTTATATTGGCAATTATTGTTAATTAAGGCGGCCTAATTTAGGATTAATAATGATTTAAATTAGGGTTAGTTAATTTAATTTAAATGTGTTTATTATATATATATGCTCAATTCAATTATTGGATTTGCTCATATTATTTAATTTAGTAAATTGTTAAATGTGCATTATTAATAAGATTAAGATGTTGATAATTTTAGTATTGTGGATTAAATTAATGCCATTAACGTATTGTGCATGTTTATAGTTTAATAATATTAATTATTGGACGTTAGTTAATTTTAAGGGAATTTTAGTGAATTTTAGTGAATTTTAGTGAAATTTTTGGCAATTAGTTAATTTTAAGGGAATTAGTTAATTTTAAGGGAATTTTAGGGAATTAGTTAATTTAAAGTTAATTTTAGTGAATTTTAGTGAAATTTAAGGAAACTAGTTAATTTTAAGGGAATTTTAGGGAATTAGTTAATTTTAAGTGAATTTTAGTGAAATTTAAGGAAACTAGTTAATTTTAAGGGAATTAGTTAATTTTAAAGGAATTAGTTAATTTTAAGGAAATTTGAGTGAAATTTAGTGAAATTTAAGGGAATTAGTTAATTTTAGGGAATTAGTTAATTTTAAGGGAATTTTAGTGAATTTTAGTGAAATTTAAGGAAACTAGTTAATTTTAAGGGAATTAGTTAATTTTAAGGGAATTTTATGGAATTAGTTAATTTTAAGGGAATTTTAGGGAAATTTAGTGAAATTTAAGGAGATTAGTTAATTTTAAGGGAATTAGTTAATTTTAAGGGAATTTTAGGGAATTAGTTAATTTTAAGGAAATTTTAGTGAAATTTAGTGAAATTTAAGGGAATTAGTTATTTTTAGGGAATTAGTTAATTTTAAGGGAATTTTAGTGAATTTTAGTGAAATTTAAGGAAACTAGTTAATTTTAAGGGAAATAGTTAATTTTAAGGGAATTTTAGGGAATTTATTAATTTTAAGGGAATTTTAGGGAAATTTAGAGAAATTTAAGGAAATTAGTTAATTTTAAGGGAATTGGTTAATTTTAAGGGAATTTTAGGGAATTAGTTAATTTTAAGGGAATTTTAGTGAATTTTAGTGAAATTTAAGGAAACTAGTTAATTTTAAGGGAATTAGTTAATTTTAAGGGAATTTTAGGGAATTAGTTAATTTTAAGGGAATTTTAGGGAATTAGTTAATTTTAATATATTAATAATACTCCACATATAATATGTTGGTAATGTTTATAATTTAGAGTTTTTAACCTGTATAATTTTTTTATTATAATATTCAGGCATAATGCGGTATTGTACGGAATGCAATCAAATTTTCTTGAAGGAGTTGAGGAGTTTATTAAATTCGCACTTGAACACCCGGCTTATATGAGTGGTGATAAAATCAGATGTCCATGTTTAAAGTGTAAAAATCTCAAATTTAAACACCCAGACGAAGTTGGGTGGGATTTTTAAGTAACTATGAACTTTATCTAATGTCAAATAATTTTATCTAATGTCAAATAATCTAACTATAAAAAAATATTAATTTTTTGAAGCGATCAAGATGTGCTCAACCAAATCAAAATCATAATTGGTGGACACTTTCTTGGCAACTGGGCTACGTACACGGATGTTGACCCCAAGGTCCGTGAACTTTGGTGGAACTTGTTCAAGGTAAAAAAATCAATTTTTCGTTATTGATGTAACCTAAAATTTGACAAATGATAAGTTAATTTAATTTTTTAATAAAGGCCCGGTTTCGCTGGACTGAAGAACAAGGCACCGCTATTCTAAGGGCGTACAATGTCAGAGTTTCAAACTGGCTTCGTCCCACTTTTAAGCGTGCCCGAGCCAGTAGGGTAAGGCCTCAATGGTGTTCGGATGAGGTATGGGAAAACCTCGTCCGCCACTGGTCTTCGGATCCGACTTTCTTGGCTAGAAGCGAAGCCGAGAAGAAAAAACGGATGTCCGAGAAGGCATTGACGACACAATGGCACGGAGGCCGCAAACCTCAGAGTAAACATAAAGAAGCTCTTGTAAGTCTTATTCAAATAAACCTACATCATTTTAACATTTTATTTTTTTACATTTATTTAAACCTTTTTCGAACCTTGTAGGCGGGGCCTCAAAAGAAGAGGGTCTCTATCCTCAAGGTAATCAAACATTGTTGGACGAAGAACGGTGTTGAGTCGCAAGCCAATCTACCACCCCGCCTTGCTGAAATCGAAGTATGTAACATCAATACTATTATTTCAAATTGAAGTAAATATCATTTGAATAATTTTTTTAAATGTTTGTAGACAAAGTATAACACAAATGTTGAAAAGAAGCGGGCGGAACTAGGCTTGACTCAAGAAGATGACATCGATTCTGATGTGGAAGATGATGCCATCCTTGAGGCAGCAGGGGTGTACAAGGGTCGGCTTCCGTGCCTCGGGGCTGAGGGGCAACGTATTTTGTACGATCGCAGCGGCAGCGGAGCTTCATCATCTTCTCGATCTAGGCGAGGAGAGGATCCACGCATTGCCCAATTGCAGCGAGAATTGGAGGAGGAGGAGCGGGCATTTGAACAGCAACGGAAGAATGATGAAGAAACAAGGGTCCGGCTGGAAGCAATGGAACGGATCCTTGCTGGATATCAGCCTCCGCCTCAGCCTCTTCCTCGACCGTACATGATGCACGTTGAGCAGACTCCTCAGATTCCGCACATGGGTAGTATGGGTTACCACTCTAACTCCGGTTATGGTGCCATGCCTGCAATAGGGTCGACATTCGGATCTCTGTCGTTTGATATGCTCAATCAGTTTCAGTCATCCGGTGGAGGCAACCGAGGAGGCAGTCGAGGAAGCAACCGAGGAGGCAATCGAGGAGGCAACCGAGGCAGCCGAGGAAGTTCCCGACCCTTGGACACCGTGGATGCAGAAGAGGATCATCATCGTGACTATGATGATAATGATGATGCATATGATTATGATGATTCTAATTTTTATCATAATGGAGTCCGACGTACGGGCATGTAATTACATAATATTGTTTGACATTGTATGGATTTTATTTTTATAATTCTGTCTGTAATAACATTTTTTATGTTTAAGATTGTATGGAATTTATTTTTATTCTAATTGCTTTAAAGTAAAATTAAAATAATTTTTTATTTTTTTATTTAAAATCTTTTTTTTTTTAAATCAAAAACATTAGTCACGGACTAAATCCATGACTACGTTTTAATACGGAATAAATTCAATTTTCATTTTTTTTATTTTTTATTTAAAATCAATTTTTTTAAAAAAACAAAAACATTAGTCACGGACCAGCTCCGTGACTACGTTTTAATCCGGAATAAATTCAATTGTTTTAAATTTAACATAGTCACGGATACATGTCCGTGACTACCACAAAAAATAAAAAAAATTAAATTAAACTTAGTCACGGCTCGTGTCCGTGACTAACATTTAAAAATTTAAATTAGAAGTAGTCACGGATCCGGTCCGTGACTAACGTGCTGGAGAGCTAATTCTGGTCAAGATGTAGTCACGGATCGAGTTCTGGACTAATCCGTGACTACACTTAGTCACGGCCAATCTTCTTCTTCTTCTTCTTCTCCTCCTCCTCCTCCTTAATAAATGCACTCTATAGTCTATCCCAAAAAGAGTCATGTTTCATCACACAGAACTTTTAAATTGTAGTAAGGTATATCTCTTGTAAACCATCCAACCTACTTATGTTACTAAATTTAACAAATTTAACAAATTTTGCTGATATTAAATAATATAAGCAAAAAGAAATAGGCACGACAAATTAATATTATTAACTGAAGTATAAATCATAAACTAATTTTATAAAGAATAATCTTATTATAAATAAGCTACTACAATAACTTTCGGGTTTCAACTTGGTCTTAGTTAAAGACTGTTTATTCATTTTTTATAATAGTACTAAAGATAACTCTTTTAGTCACATGCATTTAAAGCTTAAAAGAATATATTGCACAAAGTTACATCATACAAGTACATTACACCCAATTATATAGATAAATGGAAATGATCTGCCTACATCAACTAATGTAGAAAAATGATATCTGATGAAACTAAAAGATGATAAAAAAAACAAGAAAGATCTTACTTCATAACCAATTTAACGAGAGGAACTCAGAGAATATTGTAGAATTGCCTTTGAGGATAAAAAAGGTACAGATTTGAGGACGGTAAATGGTAAATGACATACACGTAAACAAACATAACGAAAATGTTAAATGCAACCACTTTTATAGAACATATATAAATTATTGAATTAAGGTGCATCATTTTAAAAATAAATTGTAAAACAAGCTTACCCTGACGATGCAATAAGGTATTACCACCTGATCTTTTCAGGAGGGGTGCCTTCATTGTAAAACTCAAAGCTAATTAATTGATCTATTTGCCATCATATCATCATTTGAGTAAATACAAAAATGTTTTACTCAGTTATTTTCTTCATTGGCCATTTTAGAAGTGAGGTATTGGTATTACCACAACTTACAGTAGATTCTACAATAAGAAAATCACATATTCATTAAATTCATACGCATAGCTTCAGAAATTTCCAAGTACAAATATTACAAATCATCACATTTGAGTTTACAGCAATATGCTTCATATATAAAATCAAATAGGCATATATATTAGTAAACAAATAGCTACAAACCAATACCGGCTATATATAGATGCTCCGTAGCATCACAATCCGGCCACAGAATCTAAACCATCGGCAGAAAAGCAATCACCAATAGAAAATTAGTAACTAATCCAAAAACCATCATTAATTCGATTATTTAAATTTAATTTTAGAAGTCCTAAATGTAATAAACTTAATTGAAGGTAATCACAATTTAAACCTAACCGATGAAGCTGTTTTGGAGCAGGAGGAAAAAGCTACAAACAAAAAAAATTGAAGTTAATCATTCAAGTGAACCAATTACCTAAGTTAACATTTCATTGAAGGCTAGGAATGATGGTGGCAGTTGATATGTGATGTAAATGCAATACTGTAAAAGTTTGGGTATACGGAAAATTAAGAACATAACAAAATATCATCAAGCACCTTCCATTGGAAAAGAGAAAAGAAGAGCTAGTTGACCTCAGGTCAAATTCAGCTGCATCTGAGGGGACTGCGCATCTTCTAATCCTATGCTCTCGGGCATTCCTTAAAATGAAATAAGAGACAGGCCAAGATTTATATAGGTGAAAGGTCAAGGTTGATCCTTATATGTGACGTAATTGCATATCAAAAGGTAGAGATGTTGACAAGCGTAATGGCGAACTTTTTGTCTTAAAATTTGTAGTGCTATTACATAGATGGCTAAAGTACAAATTATAAAAGCTAGAGCTACAATTAAAAAAAGGTCAATGTGAATGATTTGAAGACCCCAGAGCAAATCATATTGAAAAAAAAAACATACCTTGAAGAAGAAAAGCGGGTGAGAGCAGAATAATAGGAAGATTACAACTTCACAAAAATAACTATCATTAGTCATATGGTTTTAATTTTCCCGATCATCACTCAGAAGGTTCATAGTATTTTTGTTTCTATGCAGCAATCTAGTGTGCTATAAAAAAATAAACAAGAAACTGTGCAAAATTGATACTCGCATTCAAATTAATGATCACTCACAGTTTTGTAGAACACCAGCATCCACAAAAGAAGAACAAAATATTCCTACGTTAAGAGCAAATTGAATTCATTACTTAGAAGTCAGAATTAGTTTTGAAAAACTAATCTCAAGTTAATAGAAGAGAAAATGTCCTTGTTGTTAGTGATAATAAGAAATATAATGACCCACACAGCCCTTTTTAAAAGGAGGAGCCTTATAGTATTTCAGCTGTCTTGTTTTCAAATATCAGCTATAAATGATGCTTCAGAACTCACCTGAACTCAAAAAAGTAGTTAGATTTTAAACTCTACGAAAACTAGTTTTCTCCAAAAAACGAAACACATAAAAATATACACCGTAATTCTTGATGGTATACTATAGTAGAAACATTTAGTAGAAGATTACATTTGGGATTGCAAAGTAGAAATTCACTTTTAATACAGAGTATGTTGCAGAGGCAAAATCTGATCATATTCTTGGTCTAAAAATAGCACAATACTAATAGAGTATATCTAGAGAGAAGTGAGAGCTAGAGAGAGAAGTGCAATAATATGCTTCAATAGAATAAATTTGTAACCCCTATAACTACTCCCAAGGGGAATATTTATAGAGAAAATACGGGCTGGGCTCCCAAACCTTGGGCTTGGGAGACCCATTTACAACTGGACCGCTACTGGGCCGAATACAAAGCCACTAATGGGCTGTACAAATAAGTAAGTATAAAATCCGGTTCTGTGAGGTCTTCGTGGCCGACGAGGGCGTGGCCGATGAGGGCACGGCCGACGAGGGCACCCGGGTTCCTTGGGCTCAGGACCATAATCTGGGTTGGCACCTTTTCGGCCGACGGGGGTCCCTTGGCCGACGAGGGCGTCACTCTGTGTTTTGTGCTTTCTGTTCTTCTGAGTATGTAGGTCCGGGGGCTCGGACCCATATACTCCATCAAATACTTTTCACTTTTTTCCATACACATGTGTTCTTCCCCCAAATCTCATCTGGTTTAATCCACCATATGCATTCACCATAATGTACAGTTTGTCTTTCCATCTAGGTCTGCATAGGTATAAATCATAATAATAGTAATTATAATTATAATGATACTAACAATAATAGTAATTATAATTATAATGATACTAACATTAGCAAAGTAGGTATCAGTCTGACGAGGTATGTTATCCATAACCTCAAATGATATGCGTTAGGCACGGTGCTCTGCTGGGTTATGAACAACCTTCACTATCCTCAAAAGTTGAGGATATTAGACAGATAACAGATCAGGCTATTAGACGGAGACAACAGACGGGAGGTCAAATGCTGGCAATATACACACGCCCAAACGACCATACTAACCCCTACTGACGCTTTTTATTTTTAGAGGATGTAAAAGCGTTGTTGCTCATGTTGGAACGTTACACCAACGTTCACAAATAATTAAATAAAAAATGATATTAAGATTGAGCATATAAGTCTTTAAAGACTCATGTCTAATAATCTGAACGTTAAGCACATTAGTATTGCACTCATTAAAATATTATTAAACAATAAAGGATTTTAATGTTACCCATGGATCACATAAATGCTTAACGTTATTACTTTGAGAGCTCAATAATCAACCATTTATTAACTTTATATGGAATATATGAAAATATAAAATTAATTAATTATTACATAATAGAGATAATAATTTTATATATTTTATTCATTTGAAATACTCCCAATTTTCCAACAATTTGAAATACTCCCAATTTTATATATTTTATTCATTTGAAATACTCCCAATTAATCATATAATTTTTTTATTTAAATAAATAAATATATTTAAAATATAACTTTTCATAATTCAACAAAACTAATCTAGCTACTTCAATCCAAACTTAACAATTTTCCGCAAAATCAACCGGGCGAATCCATTTTTTTGCACAAAAACAATGACAAAAAATATCTACAAACGGTAGTAAACGCAATCTCAGAATAGTGCAGCGACAACTCATTGAAAACCAAAAAGAAGGTTGCATAAAAGAAGGTTGAATAAAGGAGATCTTTTAATGAACCAGTGTGCCATAATAAGCATTTATTCAAACACAGTAATAAATATAGTAGTAATATGCACTTGTTGGCAGTTGACATGTTTTCCCCACCCCACCCCACCCAATGATGATCATCACATTCAGCCATTCAAGTCATCATCATGTAAAAAAAAACAAATCCAAAATACCCTCCTAGTAATTCTAATGAGTGTAATTAGCATAATAATCATAGTAAACAAATCATAATAAAGGTAAATTGTAATTAGCTATTTGTATTATCACTGTCAATCATCATTTTATTATTCTCATTATCGTCCCACGGCCATAGCAGCATGTCATTAAATCCTTCCCAGATTTCATCATATCCTTCAATCGCATCAACGACGTCATCATCGTCTAAAATCCAGTTAACCCATTCTTCCTCGTCGTGAAATATTCCGTGTCCGGCGGTTGCATTACACTCGCCGCCGTCTCCGTCGCCGGCCGGCATACTCCCGCAACCCACCCCTGCCTCGGCATTTACTGCTAATAAAACCCCGCCTGCGACCTCGCCAGGCGTCATTTCGCTGTCAAATCCTTCGCCGCGCGGGCCCATCGCCGGGACCTTGTTTTCATCTGGTCCCTTGGCGGTGGTGGGGCCCAAAGGGAGCTCGGTGGAGCCGGGTTCTTCACGGGACCCGTGAAGTTCTGACGGGTTGCATTTATTTCGGAAAGAGGATGAGGCGACGTGGAAGGACGCGGTGTTGTATTTTTTAGCGAGGGATCGGCTGACACGCCCACCTCTTCTCCGCCGTGAAGAGGGCGTTTTGGAGGCGACGTCATCGGCCACCGCCGGTGTGGGCCCGCTTCTGATGAACCTGAAACTGTACATTCTCCGGCTAAGATGAGAGTTCCAGTAATTCTTTATTTCGTTGTCCGTTCGTCCAGGCAATTGGCTTGCTATCAATGACCACCTGCACCATTATGATGCCTATTAGAAATAATTACGAGGATTGATTACAAAAATATGACTATTGATTAGAAAAGTAATGGAACAATAGTAACTCAAGCTCAAATTTTAAATTTAAATTATCATAACACTAGATTATACGTAGTAGTAACTATTAGAGCGTATTATTGTTAGATATAATAATAATAATTATTATTATTATATTGCTAAAGAAATCCCTCATAATAATTACTAGTATATAGCACTCTCTCTTTTGTATATAAGAAAGTTACACGTTGCTATATTAGGTCTCATCATAATAATATGCATATCAGTGCCAAGGGCGGATCTCGAAAAGTTTCCTCGCCGGAAGAAAATATTTTTGGAGTGGTTCAAAATAATTTTTGGGAGGACAAAAATTATTTTTTCTTATATACGGAGTATATTCTTACTTTATCAATTCAATATCAATCAAATAAATTACTCCCTCCATCCCTGAATTGTCTTCAAACATTCCTTTTTCGTCCGTCCCAAAATTATCTCATCCTTCCTTTTTTTGCAAAGAATTTGTCGTTCACAATCATTCTTGCACATTCTTACACATTTCTCTCCTCTGCACAACTCTCCACAACACAAAACCCACTATCTTAATTAGTGTGCCCGGCCGAAATGAGAGAAAAAACAGGGACGGAGGGAGTACTTTTTATTAATTTTTAGTAAAGTTTGTGTGGCTCTAAATCATTCTTACTATATTATTACTTTATCAATTCAATATCAATCAAATAAATTACTTTTTATTAATTTACGTGTCACTTTTTTTTGATGGATTTTTCTGTAGGTACATCTTGTTGGTGCTATATTTGTATATAAATAAGTACAATTAATTAAATTAATTAATTAGCACCCCAATCTTTTGCACATGCCGCATGCGGTCCTAGATGAGAAACGTACTATCCTATTATTTAGTCAACAGTGGCAATGAGTGACCAAGAAAGCCACGGATCTACCAAACCCTTGAATAAAATACTCCACCTACCCGTATATTACTCCTATTCTTCTCAACAATTAAACTTTTACGTTTATTAAAACATAATTTTGACAGCAATTAAATTTATTTAAGAATTAATAAAAATTAAGAAAAATTAATATTTTATGAAATTCACATTAAGAGAAATATAATAATATTTTGATTTTATATATTAGTAAAAATGTATGATTAAATTAAAGTATGTGAATAAATAAAAATTTAAAGTGTTACAACTATTAAAAAAGGAAGGAGTACATCACACTCACATCAAGGGATCCTACATTCTTTCGGTAGTATTACACCATCCCAAAAAGGTTGGCCAAATTTCTTTTTTTGTATGTCCCAAAAAGATTTGACATTTCCATTTAAAGCAAGGACTATGTGGCTAAAATTAATTCTCTATCCTCTGCATAAATTTCAACCACACAATTTTTACTTTATTAATCCACGTGAAAGTCAACTTTGGCCAACCTTTTCGGAACGGATGAAGTATTTGTATGCAAACCAAGACACATACATTAAAATGGTAAAGACCAAATAAATAGCAAAACTAAATTGTCCCATTTAAACAAATGAGTGTTTTTAGATACCGTAATAATTATAAATGAATTAAGTTGAGTATAATTTGAAAGATATAGTGTAGTGTGATAATTAATTGGTTTAAGTTTGATATGATTTGACCTGAATTAATTTGATTAGATACAACATTAGATTGTACTCACAACCTTGAGTACGACATGGGGCAAGATTGGTTCATGATAGTGAGTGTGCAATTTATTACATTGCCTCCAATTCTACCTTAATCTTCCGGGTACCCATAAATCCCCTAATTTAGGGTTATCAAAACAATTTTATAACTTAAGTCAAATTCAACCATATTATTCCCTCCGTCCCATAATTAACTTTGGTTTTGACTGGACACAGGGATTAAGATAGTGGGATTTGTGTGGTGGAGAGTTGTGCAGAGGAGAGAGAAATGTGTAAGAATGATTGTGAACCACATATTCTTTATCAAAAAAGGAAAGAAGAGATAAATTTAGGATGGATCAAAAAGAAAAGAATGAAGATAATTTCGGAACGGAGGGAGTACATTAAAACTCACCCGAAACTTTAACAAAAAAATGTCAAGTCTTGAGATATCTTACATACCCTTCGATCATGTTCAAATCGACCTAGGGGTAGAAATGCGTGGACTCATTCACCATCACACGTGTTCCTATCATATTTTTTTTTCTTTTTTTGGAAGATATGATATTATAGTTTTATGTATTTTAACACTCAATTTCTACTCTTGGGAAAAACCCTAAGAAAAAAAAAGCTAATGCTAGTACTAATTTTATGGGTCATCCTCTAATTTTGAAATAATATGGACAAAATTACTCCGTATAGAAAAAGTATCCGTCGCTATCAATTTTGCAACACATTGTAAATACAAATATGCAATCCTTGTTATTAAGTTAGAACTTAGAATGATGTTTATTAATTTTTTTTTTAATTTATCTATATACACAGACACCTAGGGATGTACATATTGTTTGTGTACCCAGATAATTACGAGGCCGTTTGGCAACTCATTTTCGGCTTATCAGACTTATCAGCCAACTTTTTACCAAACACGTAAAAATTGCTTTCACGCGCTGAATTGTGTAATAAGCCGAAAAAGTAAGGTTGGAGTTACTTTTTTGGCTGTATTGGCTGAAGTTACTGTATATGATTATTTAAGCTATTTTTACATATAATTTTTTCTTTATTTTACTAATAAAATATATTTTAAAAATATGTTAAATAGGACGTATGTACAAATTTCATGTAGAATACTGTTCAATAACTTATGGAGTAGTACAGAACGTTATTCAATGCTGTGTACTAATTGCAATAATTAAGAAGTAGAGCAGCCGAGCAGGACAATGTGAGGGCTGCATGTTATGCACCAAATGTCATATCTGATATTGATTTTTGTTTTTTGATATTGATTTTGCTATTATGAGTTGGGACTAAAAAACAAAAAATAATCAAATCGAAAATGACGGACAACATTTCGGAAATAGTTTTCAGACGACATTTTAAAAATACTTTTAATAATGGACGGAACTTGCACTAAAATATGTATTCTGGATATTTTTATTTCTTAAAATCATGTCAACGCTCATTTTTTTTTGAATCATGTCAACGTTCATCTTAAAAACGTGTTAACGCTCTGATTTTTATTTTATGCATCTCATTTTGATCAAGTTTGAATCTATTTTTGTGAGTATATTAAATTCACATATTAAATAGTAATTTTTTTTTACTCCTGGGGTCTGGGGAGGGGATCTGGAGTACTCAGGGCTAAAACTAACTTCATTGTGTTTCAAATCCTTATGTGTCTAACGGGTTTCGAACTCGAGACCTCCCACTATGCACAGTAACCTAACCAACTAGTCTGGAATGCTTGGTAACCAATTAAGTAGTAAATTTAACAAGTAATTTTTAACAATATTCGCACGACTTAATCTAGTTTTTTTCCATAATTATTTAACAATTTCGCACTCAACTTTTACTGAACTCTCGTTCAATTAAATTCAAAAAAAATAATACGGGGTAGTATAATTCATTCACTCTATTTAATGCTCTCGGCCATGACATAAAAATCTCGGAAAAAATTATCCATACACATTTATAACTTTCCATTTGGAATACTTTACCGATTAAATGATGTTTAACGTGCCACCGTGTAAACGTTTTAGTATAGATTAATGATTTGTTTTAATGGTGTCACTTATTTCCAAATTAAGGCTGTTTTTAGAGGGAATTCCGTGTAAAAAAAGTTTTGAAATCCCAAAATAGGACTTTCATGTTTTTAATTCTTTGAATAAGAGTTAATTTGTGCCAAGTTTGGCATTACTATGTTTTAAAACATAGCATTTTTTTCCAAATTTGGCAGATTACTCATATTCAAAGAATAAAAAACACGATACTCCTATTTTGGAATTTCAAAATGTTTTTCCTCTTATATAGAGCAATTTCTAGAGTTTTTTATAGTTTTTTTTTGTGTGATTTGGAAATATTCAATCAAGATTCCGATACACCAGGTTCGTTGCTACTCCAAAGTCACTTTCTAAAAAGTCACTTTCGCTACGCCAAAGTTTCATGATTATTCAACTTTTCTAAAAAGTCATTTTCGTTACAACCAAAATTAATGATTAATCAACTTTGAGAAAGGTCGTATATAGGGATGGTTCGATACGATATACCTAATATCTTCTCTCATATCTTTATCGTATCAAAATTTTTGGTATACAAAATTTATATATCGTTACTTTACAGAAGTTTCGATATATCGTATTTCGGTATACCGAACTTTCGGTTCGATATCGGTAAATTACCGTGCATGTCTCACAATACAATAAATTATCATACACTAACAAAATATACTAAATCGATGTTACTAACGACATATTTAATCCGTTATTAAAATGTTACAAAATACAATTAATAATCTATTGATGTCATATTTAATATTAAATATTTACTAAAAATAATGTTATTAATGACAAAAATTAATTAAATTTATGATCAATCAAATATTCCAAAACACGTGAAAATCTTTAAGTAAGACGGAGGGACAGAGGAGTATTAAGTTATCTGCCTTACAAGTTACAATGATAATGAGTCGTATAATTTATCTACGTCCAAAAGGTTGAATCCCTAACCCCAAGCCCCCCCTCCCTACCCCGACTCGACAGGATGGTGGGGGAGTAAATCACGGTGACTCAATCGGTAAAGTGGCAGTAGACCATTACCCATGCGCATCAGAGAGCCAGCCTTATTTCAGGTTCTGAAAACTCACTTTTGGCCGCTGCGGGATTCGAACCTTGGTCTACATCCAATTTTTCCCACCGTTCGACCAACTGAGCTACCCGTGCGGGTATGAGTCGTATAATTTATCTAAATGTTAAAAGACGTGATTGTTAATATAAACTTTTATACGGAGCTGTTAAAAGTCAAATAACACTTTATTATGGGTCTAGCTGTTTCCCACTTTCGCCCAGATATGAGAGTGATGATAGAAAAGGAGCAGCAAAAAGCGCCATAATCTGGTGTGGTAGGGGTATGGTCCCATGCCCGACGGGCAGCGGGCAGGATAACTGACTGAGCTCGGAAGGGCATGCACTGAACATTTCTGCGACCCATGCATGTATGTATATGAGTGTGAGATTGACGAGCATGTGAGATTAAACGTGCACAATTGCCGAAAACTATACGGAGTTATATAAATCACTGCAATTATACGTATGGTAATACGACAGGATGTGACCTCGACATATGAAATGACATACGGAGTACTCTCTCTCGGTTGTCATGTTTGAGTGACACGTATAATAATAAAATAAAAATTGTGGGGTAGAAATTTATACGGAGGAGAGAAAAATAACAGAAGCTACAAATTGATTGATTAAAATGGAAAGAAGCAAAATTTATGGAATAAACAAAAAACGAAAATTGGCAAAATTTATAAGGAACAGAGGGACAACCAAAAAATTCAATGTACATTTTTTTATAAAAAAAACTTTTGTATTCATCCACTCCAACTCAGTTTAACCCATTGCCCTTGCTCCATCCCTGTGTGTAACATCCACAACACTATTTGCCGATTTCTATAACTTGGTTAACTCTCTTATTCCCTTCCTCTATTCCCCGTCCCTTATAACTTTATTAATTTTCATTTTTGGATATCTTACTAACTTTTCCATTTTCACTTTTAAGGAAAGAATTTATGGTTCCAGTTCATTCTCTCTCCCCTGCACAAACTTGATCCATAATATTTTCATTCTCTCTCCCCTGCATGGCAGCACGGGTAGCTCAATTGGTTCAGTGATGGGAAATTTGGTCCAAGTGACCAAGGTTCGAAACTCGCAGCGGCCGTGTGGAGGTTACAAAACCTGAAATAAGGCTGGGCCTCTGGTGCGCACGGGAAAAAGACCTACCATCATTGGGCCGACTAAGTCACCGTGATTAACATTCTCACAAAAATCCTGTCGGGTCGAAGTATGGGAGTATTTCCTAACTTTCTTACCACATGACCGACTGCCCCATCTGTATTGGAATTTGGTACGTTCCCATTACGCTTGTGCACCAAAGCCGCCTAGGCTCGTGTGATTTTTCATATTTATTGTTATAATTTAATTTTGTAACGTGACTAACATCTATGTAATTTAATTGCATTCATTACCAGCGTCCATTGTCCTGAAAATCTAGCGAGCACTGTCCTGTACGTTGTCTCACTTATTTGGGCGAAGATTATATCTATAAAAAATGAAAAATGTCTCAAATTTCTTTTTAGAGAAAACTGTCAAATAAATTCTCGAACTTTCATAAAATGGTCAATTAAATCCTTCAATAGATAACTCATACCACATTAAATTCTTTTTGATGAATTTTTTTGAGCATCTTATTCATCAAGTCTAGTTTACTCATACTAAATTTCAGCTAAAAATTCAATCGAGAACATATTCAAATTAATTCTTGAAGATAACTACGCATTTTTGCTTTCTCGAATTAATTTGAATGCGCTCCCTGTTAAATTTTTAGCTGAAATTTGATATGAGTAAACTAGACTTGATGGATAAGATGCTCAAAAAATTTCATCAAAAAGTTCATCCGGAACCGCTCCAAATCTCGACGACCGGACAGAGTCTCCTATAGAAGGACTTAATTAACATTTTTATGAAACTTCGAGGACCTATTTGACATTTTTCCCTTCTTTTTATATACTTTAGAGCATGTTTCTTTTTTATTATTTAATACTCTATTCAGTACGCATAGATTAATTAGAAATTGCTCTAAATAGGAGCAAAAACGTTTTGAAATTCCAAAATAGGAGTATCATGTTTTTTATTCCCTGAACATGAGTAATCTTCCAAGTTTGGAAGAAAATGACATGTTTAAAGCCTAGTAATGCCATGTTTGGCAGAAATTTACTCCTATTTAGGGAATAAAAAACATGATACTCCTATTTTGGAATTTCAAAACTTTTTTACTCTTATTTTGGGAATTCTCTCTAGATTAATTCATGTCGTTTTTTAGTGTATTAATTTGGGTAAGTATGGCTAATATTTTTTGGAATTAATCTATGAAAGGTCAAGAACGGTCCTTCATTTTGGTGCAAATTTTCTTTTCACAAGTTTTGGGCAGAATAAGAAGTTTCCAAAGTGACTACATTCATACGGAGTATAATACGGAGTATTATGTTATCTTTTCTTTTCAGGTTATTTTGTGCAATTTCTCTAATATTAATTTTTTTCACATTTTATGGATGACCATTTTTTATTGTCCGAATTAATCAACAGTGAAAGAATTTTATTATTTTTTTACATTTATATCAACTCGACCTTGTAGACTTGCAAACTAAAGGAACAGACATATAGTACTAAATAATGAAAACTGCTTGACTTACATGTCTAGACATTCTTTCAATCCGGGGGCAATAATAAAATAAAACATTTTCATTTTACAAACATAAAAATAAAATTAAACTTATATCGATGGATTATAAATTGTAATGAAAATTCAAATTTAAGGAAACAAGGGTCCACCATTATTGGCATTTTTTGTATTTTTTGACATTTAGAGCAATTGATGTCTAAGTTACTTGGCTTCTTAGTTAAGTATTAATTGCACACCATAACTAGAGGATAGTTATGGGTTGGAAATGGCATAACCTGTTGCCCATTGAAGTATGCAATTTGACAATAGTCTCTTCTTCTTCGGCAGTGAAGTTTCCCCTCTTCAAATCGGATCTCAGATAATTGATCCATCTCAATCTGCAACTCTTTCCACATCTCTGTAAACCTTTACCAAAAACACAAAATGAATAATAAAAAATTTAATAAACAATAATCTGTAAATGACCCAGTCTTGTTTCATTGCATGATTGACATATACTCCCTTCATCCCAATTTAAAAGGCTTCTTTGTTTTACGGACAATTTAAGAAAGTGGCACGGTTTAACACTTTTTTATACTCATTGGCACCGTTTTATTTAACGAATAAGAAAAGCGAACATTTTTAAGGGATAGACCATAGACCGAAAAGGAAAGTGAGATGTTTATTTTTGGAGGGGTAGTAATACTTCTCCATTTGTCTAGTAGAGTATGATGGAGAAGTATGTTAGATCAATAAAAAACACCATAGAGTATCATCTAAAATCATACTCCCTCCGTCCCCCTAACTTTGTCCCGTTTTACTTTTTCGTCGGTCTCATTACGTTTGTCTCATACCATATTTTCGTAATATTTGGATGGTTACAATTCATTCTTACTTTATTCACATTTTATGAATTCAATAACAATCACACAATTCCATTTTTTAAAGTTGTGTCACACCGCTTTATGTAGACAAAAGTATGATATTTTTGAGGGTTTAATAGAATCTTCTTTTGATTTGTTGCAATGTACTTTAATATCAAAAGAAGTACATTGAAACAAATATTAAAATGTTGTAGTTGAATTATTTTGATTCTTCGTTAAGTTTTGACAAATGATATTAATTTGTTGTGAAAATACTTATAATACAAAACTGTAATTTGTCAAAAAACGCTTTCGTAATAGTATAAAATTTTTAAATTTCACGAAATTATACTAAGCAAAATCATTCAGCATTGATTACCACAACTGATTAAGAAAGTAAAAAAATGACAAAATTGTCAAGACTAAGGAGGGAAGTGCAACCTATAAGTTGATGGTAGCAAAATATCTCATCGTTTTTAGTTAAAAAACATACAGTAACTTCTAGCGTTGCTCTGTTTTATGGTCAAAAACGTTGCTCTGTTTTTAGTAAAAAGGAAATTGCAGTCAAATGGGTATAAAGACTCTGGGTTTATCCAAAATTTGCTCAAATGGGAGGAGGAGAGCAAGACTAGTGTCTTATATATCGATTCCAAAAACAGGAATGAAGTTTAGTGTTCATAAAAAATGTTTTTCTTTTTGGGGAAAAGAAAAAGGAAAGGAAAAACAATGCCATGTAATGTTGATGTATATATATGCTGGAGAAAATCAAATTACCAGCATTGTTGGGAAGTGACCTCCAAGAGCCTTCACCATGCTGTTGGATATACTTGATGAGCCTCTCATCTTCTTCTCTAGTCCACCTGCCCCTGTTCAGGCCAACTTTCTCACAGCAAGGTGTCCTACCCATTTGGGGGAGTTTGATGATTGGGAGGCCTGGGGATGTGGGCAATCTGCCCTCTCTTCTATCCTATTTATGCCCTTTTTATAATTTTTGTTTTATGGAAAAAATTGATGCATAACCAATTTTTGTATCTAATGGGCGTAAGCAGATATTTAACAGCGTAAGAAGGATGAGAGTAATGGGGGGTATGTCGAAAAAGAGGGGTAGTTGTGGAATCATAATGTTCCTCCAATGAAACCATGCATACGTATATGCATGGAATATAAATGTCGGGTCCATGGGACCGTATGGAATGAGGTCCTCTATTTCAAACTTCTCGAAGCATGTCAAATGTATGAAGTAGAAATTTCTCTATGAGACAAATGACTTGTACGATACTATACACTATAGAATTATACACCGTCCAGATTTACAATTTTTTTTCGCTTTCGTAAAGTGGAAATTTGTAGTTGTAATTAAGTTGAGAAAAAGTTAATGGATGTTAGTCATACAAAGAAATGAAAAGAATATTTTATAAACACCCCAAAAATGTAAGTGTTAATAATTTATGGGATGAAAGAAGTACTGCCTTTGTTCTATTTTACATATCTCTTTTGACTTTGACACAATTATTAATGAAGTGATTGAAAAAATGAAAATTGAGATTGAAATTTAAGTATAATGAAGTGAAATGTTGTAGATAACATATTTCTTTCTTAAAGAGAAATGTCACTCTTATTTTGTCACAACCAAAAAAGGAAGTAAGATATAAAATGGGATGGAATGAGTATTAGATCAGAAGATGCTTTCTTGCAGGATATGTGGAGTATGTTTTCTTGTAGTATATGCGGATAGACACATACGTAATCTTCTCTCATTTGTGCTTTTATGATTTTATCCGTGCTACTCATATTTTCTCCTTCCCAATATACATGTTTAATTTTACGAAGTTTAAAATGCTAAGTGTGGGTTGGAGTTTTTGGGTTTTTAATTGTGTGCATTGATGGATTAAAGAGAGATTTACCAAAATATATAGGACCTAAACATTTGAAAAGTGTCAAGGGTAAGACTCTCATTTATTCGTGTAGTAGAGTAGGGATGAAATGCCAAAATTGTCCTGCACCTCTCTTCTTTCATTCGCGATTTGCAAAACCAACGATGAATGTCGTTTTCTAGGTAAACTTCTGCTATTTCTTTTCTCTAGCTCCTATGTTTTCTTTCTCTAGCTCCCATGTATTTCTTCCCTTTTGTATTTTCATTTTTTATAAGTTAATTTATATATAAACATTTAAACATTCATATTATTTTTTCCACCATTTGAACATGAAAACTTCATAATTGATGTCTTATTGAATACTATGTAGTACTTTTTTAAAAAAGGGTTTTTTTCAAAAATATTACTAATATAGAACTTATTTACACAAATATGACTAATACGAGTAGTTACTACAATATAGTGTCATGGTAACTTAAATTGAAAAACTGAACACAAGTTATTATGATTTCATTACTACTTAGTCATTAATCACATTTTTGTAAATAATCTTTATTTTAGTTATAAATATGTAATTATTTCTTAAAAATGTCACTCATGTGGAATTACATTTATCAAGATGACAGTTTTACTTTACAGAGCAAGGTATGAATGATATGTTTTTAACATATGTAAATGTGTCTTAATGACATTTTAAGAGCAAACATACATAAAAACAGAGAAAGAAGAAGAAAAAGATATCGGATGAGAGAGAGAGAAGGAGAAGAAGAAGAAATTAAAACAGAGGAAGAGCAAGAGGATGAATACTTGGATTTCTAAAATTGGTGAAATTTCCGATCAACAAATTGAATGGAGATGAAGGTAGAAAGAGAATAGAAGGGTATCTAAGTTGAAGAAGTTTGGGGTCTATTTAATCTCATGCGAGTGCGGCTTCTTTGACCTATGCGAACTTGGAGTGCTTCATGACATTGCAAGAGAAGAAGACCAAACCTAAAGAATGTAGTAAAACAAGATGGAACTTGAAGTGCTTGTGGACTTGAAATCGTAGAAGATGAAGGTTGAACCTGGAATACTTCTAGAGGCGGAGACCACAAGCAAGAGACATCGATGAAAAAGTAGGGGCATTTTGGATATTAAAGAAATGATAGGAGCGGAGAGAGGGTTGACATGAAAGCAAAAAGGATATTAATTATTATTTTAGATTTTCATTTGTGTTTTAGTCTCACAATTTGTTATAAATTTAATATGGTGTTAAAAGTAGAAATGATGTGGAGATCATTAATAGAGAGTGAGTTGACAATAGAGAGAGAAAAGATAAAAAACAAAAGTTGTGGGCCCGTGTGGCACGAGTCTCTCCTTAAAGAGTTTCAATGGGGTGACCACACAATGATGTCACCCGACACCACAATGACCCAAATTAAAAAAAAAACTTTCTGTTAGATTTAACGTTTGGGATGATTTTGACACTATTTGAGTCATTTCATTTTTTCTTAACCGAAAAAGTAAACAAAAGTATTTATTAAATTTATAGTTTTTCCATCGAAATTCTTACATTTTAAATTCATAATTATTTTGTGAAAAACGAAAGGAAAACATTACTTATAATAATTTAATTAATATTTTAGCAAATTGTTATGTCTAGAAATATGTTGAGGGTATTTTGTTGACAGTGCTAAAATGAAAGAAAAAACATTATTGATAGAGTTTATACACTATTTTCATATCAACGAAGTCCATATTTAAGTTTTTGGACAACGTAGAGTTCCTTCTGTTGAAAAATGCTCTAATACCATGCTAAGAATGTGGACAAATTATACGTAGTACTTAACATGATACTAGGTTCAAACTCTTAAACATTTGATGTCTGTAGTGTGTAGGTTTTTACTATCGTAAGACAATATTTATTGATCCAAATTTATAGAGCATGTAAATCATCAACCCATGACGGTCACAATTGACCAATGCAAATACTCGAATCCGAATGCTAAGTAAAAGTTTTCTTAGTAGCCATCTCACAGAAATATCTAGGGTTTTACCGCTGTTTATTTATAATAATTTAATTAATACTTTACTAAATTGATATTTCAAAATTTTTATTGAGTTTATTTTATTGACGGTGCTATAATGTAGGAAAAATAGTATCCATGGCTACTAAGAAAACTTGGATCAGTGAATATGTGTTATAATGGTAAAAACCTACACACTACAGGTTTCAAATGATTTGGAGTTCAACCCTTCGACTTTCTTAAGTATAAATTATCTCAAGCCTTAAAATGATATCAGAGCATTTTGTTTAAAAAAAGGGACTCTGAGATAAGTAGATAGCATAAGATCTCAAAAGTTTATTAAGCAATACTACTTTGAACCACTTCTCTTTCTTTGCGCAACCCCCCCCCCCCCCACCCCCCCCCCCCACCCCCCACGCGCGTTCGAGTCTTTCCCTTTAAGGACTTTTAATTATGCGTTTTTTCAGAATATGGATATCCGTAGCAGTAATTGATCTTTGCATCCGTTAATTATTATGAGGCAAAGAGTTTGGTTTGGCTTAAGCTTCATATCTTGTTCGATTGTTGTGGTGCTTCTAGCTGTTACACATGATATTAATAACCTTCTTCCCGCACCGGTGAGATGGGTTGAGAACTTTGTCACATGGTTTATAAAAAACATTAAAACCAACCTCTTCCTGATGGTATGCTATCAGCAGTTACCATTTGTTATTTAAGATGTTTGTATGTCTTCGATTTACGTTTTAACATCAAACCACTAAAGTTCCCTAGATTTATTAGGTGGATTCTTGATTTTGCGTTTCTCTCTTTCTTTTGCAATATCTACGTATGCCGATGACTTCATTTCTGTGCTTTTACAGTTTCTATGGTGTTTTCATATGATTCCCGCTCTCACATCTTATTGGGGATTTAAGAAGTTTGGTTTTTGAACTTTTTTTGTGACAATTCTTGAACCTGCAATGCATCTGTCCAAAAAGAGCCCAAAATCACTTCTTAAAATAGTGGCTATCTTGTCAGCTATTTTCCAAGGCATGAAATACTACAATGAATGCAAAATTTAGTTGTTGTAAATGAGGGTGACACGGAAAAACCTTCTGGTGATTCATAGCCATATGTGCTCATTCGTTGTAGCAAAACTAGAACCTAATCTTGAAGGGGCTGAAGTGAAGCGTCTCCTATAGTTTGCTCAAAGCTTAAAAAGGGAATATTCGTAAGAAATGCTATTGCCCCAAGCCAAGAAATGATCTTGTTATTTATAAGTAATCAAGGAATAAACTATTAAAGTATTAGATGCCACAGAAGTCCTAACTCTGCTTCAAGTTATGTGTGCTCGCCACTCAATGAGGCCATGATTTAAGAGAGGCTATGAGGGATTTGAGAGTGATTTTCTAGAATATGGACGAAGTGTGACAAATATTTTATCACGTTCGAGGACATTCGATAAATTATCTCCAACTTAGAACTTGTTAACGTTTTAATTTTGATCGATTTCAATCTCATAAGTAATCAGACTTAAAGAAACCTAAATAAATCAAATTAAATTAAATTTAGATAATAAAAAGTACACATAAATACATACTCCCTCCGGTCCTAATTAAACTTCACGCTTTGACTTCACACAAATTAAGGAAATAAATTTGACTCTACTGTAGAGTACACTGTTGTGACACTGTTTGGCACTGTTTGCCGAATAAGGAAGAGAGAAGAAGTGTGAAGTTTATTTTGGACCTACCCAAAAAAGAAAGTGTGAATTTTATTTAGGACCGGAGGGAGTAATATAATTCCAGCCCAAATCATACTTTCACATGACTAACTAATACTAGCTCAAATCATACTTTCACATGTAGTGTGACTTAATATGACTAAATTTATGATGTTTTCGGTTAGACTAGTTTCATTGTCACACAAGTTCAAATCACTTTAAGATAGGATCAAATAAAACTTACCATGTTTTTAATGGGATAAAAATTTCTGGTCTAGTTTGGTTCGATCTGTTTAAGTCTAACCTCGTCCGATATGGTTTGAATCGGTCTAGTCGTGTATGGTAGATGTCTGTTTTATATGTATTTACAACTGTCGAAGTCTAGTCTGATTCGATCTAATCTGATGTTCTAGTCTACATAAATCGGTTCTAGTATATGACTGAAAAGAGTCCAATTCAAAATA